GACAATGTTCCTGACGCTCAGGATAAGTTTCCTGACGGTGAGGACAAGGTTCCTGACTGTGAGGACAAGGTTGCTGGCGGTGAGGACAAGGTTCCTGGCGGTGAGGACAAGGTTCCTGGGGGTGAGGACAAGGTTGGTGGCGGCGAGGACAAGGTACCCGGCGGTGAGGACAAGGTTCTTGGGGGTGAGGACAAATTTCCTGGCGGTGAGGACAAGGTTCCTGACGCTGAGGGTAAGGTCCCTGGAGGTGAGGACAAGGTTGCTGCCGGTGAGGACAAGGTTGCTGGCTGTGAAGACAAGGTTCCTGGCGGTGAGGACAAGGTTTCTGGCGGCGAGGACAAGGTTCCTGACGCTGAGGACAAGGTTTCTGGCGGCGAGGACAGGGTTCCAGGCGGTGAGGAGAAGTTTGCTGACGCTGAGGACAATGTTCCTGGAGATGAGGACAAGGTTCCTGGAGGTGAGGACCAAGGTTGCTGGAGGTGAGGACTCGGTTGCTGGCGGTAGGACAAGGTTCCTGGCGGTGAGGAGAAGCTTCCTGGCGGTCGGGACAAGGTTCGTGACGTTGAGAACAAGGTTTCTGACGCTGAGGACAAGGTTCCTGACGCTGACGGCAAGGTGCCTGGCGGTGAGGTTCAAGGTGCCTGACGCTCAGGATAATTAGTCAAAATTTTATGACGTCATCGATGACGCAAAACGTGATGACGTCATTTGACATGACGTCATTTGATGTCAGGATGATAGTCCAATTTTTGTGGAAGTATAGATATTTCGTTTTATCAAACTACAAATGCGTAAATGACTTAATTTTCGTACCTGCCAATGTTCAGCTTATGATATATTAATATATGGACTGTTTCGCCCTACAGTGTATACCTTGGTTCATCAGCATGCCTATAGGAAACACGTTTGCCAAAAATAGTAAACCGTGATCCAACAAGGACAGCTTCTTGAAAAAGCTGAACACAAGCACAGGTTTCTGGCTCCTTAAAACCAGATTGCTTGCCTTCACACCTTTTGCAAGAGCAAAAGGAGTTTGGCTAGAACTTA